CCGCGCCCCGCCGCCCGGCGTGGGCCCAGCGAGCCCAGCGTCCCAACTCCCGCGCTTCCGCTGCGTCTCTGGGACCCGCACCGCCCCGCCCTGCCCCGCGCCCGCGACCCCGGCAGGGCCAGCGCTCCAGCCCCCCCCCCCCGCGCCTGCGCACAGCGCGCCCAGCGTCGGACACTCGCACGCGCTCACACGCAGTTACACACGATCACACACAGTTACACGTGATCACACACGCTCACACGCAGTTACACAGTAAAATGCACTCGCACATAGTTACAGTCACACGCGCTCACACGCAGTTACATGCGATCACACACAGTTACACACGATCACAGTTACACAGTAAAATGCACTCGCACATAGTTACAGTCACACGCGCTCACACGCAGTTACATGCGATCACACACAGTTACACACAATCACACACGCTCACAGTTACACACACGCGCTCACACGCAGTTACGCGCACTCACACAGTTACAGTCACACGCGCTCACACTTAGTTACAGTCACATGTGCTCACACAGTCACACGCGCTCACACTTAGTTAGTCACATGTGCTCACACAGTCACACGCGCTCACACTTAGTTACAGTCACACGCGCTCACACGTAGTTACAGTCACACGCACTCACACGTAGTCACACGCACTCACACTTACAGTCACATGCGCTCACAGTCACACGCGCTCACACAGTCACACGCGCTCACACTTACAGTCACACGCGCTCACACTTAGTTACAGTCACACGCGCTCACACGTAGTTACAGTCACACGCGCTCACACAGTCACACGCGCTCACACTTACAGTCACACGCGCTCACACAGTTACAGTCACACGCGCTCACACGTAGTTACAGTCACACGTGCTCACACTTACAGTCACACGCACTCACACGTAGTTACAGTCACACGCGCTCACACAGTCACACGCGCTCACACTTACAGTCACACACGCTCACACTTAGTCACACGCGCTCACTTACAGTCACACGTGCTCACACGTAGTTACAGTCACACGCGCTCACACTTACAGTCACACGCGCTCACACTTAGTTACAGTCACACGCGCTCACACGTAGTTACAGTCACACGCGCTCACACTTACACAGTCACACGCGCTCACACAGTCACACGCGCTCACACTTACAGTCACACGCGCTCACACTTACAGTCACACACGCTCACACGTAGTTAGTCACACGCGCTCACACGTACAGTCACATGCGCTCACACTTACAGTCACACGCGCTCACAGTCACACGCGCACACACTTACACAGTCACACGCGCTCACACGTAGTTACAGTCACACGCGCTCACACGTACAGTCACATGCGCTCACACTTACAGTCACACGCGCTCACACTTACAGTCACACGCGCTCACACTTACTTACACAGTCACACGCGCTCACACTTACAGTCACACGCGCTCACACTTACTTACACAGTCACACGCGCTCACACTTACAGTCACACGCGCTCACAC